GGTGGGCACAGGTAATGATATGGGTGGGGTTAGGTCGCTGCTGATGGTTATGGTATGGTCTGGGTTTAATTTGCAGATTTGAAGTAAATGTTGGCCTCTGCTCTAAAGAGAAAGGTACGTGATTATCCACGTCTTCGAAGGAACTGGAGGCCCACGATGAGTTAAATTATTTTATTTTGCAATGACTACAATGATTCGCACTGTGATAGGTATATCGAAAAATAGATCGTTTTCTAAAACAGTTTACCAAACACTATAAGCAAAGTATTACTTTGTTATATTATATTTCAGGAATTACTTGATTCCCCATGCAGTCAAAATCTGAGGGCACCTCACTTCCGTAGTGACAAAATTCCACGGAAATACTTGAATATCTTCTCATGGATGCAAAGTGTCCAATATTATGATATCATACCTCCATGTGATAATGCCTGAATCTCGACGGCTCTAATTCCTTACCATAGAGTAAATCAATTTACATTTGATCATAAAGGAGTTAGCATATAATGGCTTGCTTCAATAGGAGCAATAAGTGAATTGCTGGATTCCTATGACATGTAACTTCAAGAAAACAAAGTCGTTATCTATACTCAAAGTAACTTTATCGTTCGAATCAATTTTTAAACATGTAACGGATTAAAATTTATTATAAATTTTACGTTTTATATATATGATCTTGTCAACTGAATGAAACACAAAATATATATTGCTCTATTGTATCCAGGGTCTTTGAAGTTTTAGTGACACTGCATTAATGTAATTCTATTGGCATCAAGACTTTTATACGATAACGAGGGTTTCTTTCGGACTAGCTTTGTGTAAGAAAATCCTTATTACACTCAAACTTGTGATAATAATCTAAATGTAGCAAGAATTCACATCATTTTAAGTCCACACGGAGATCAAAAGCTAGCTACCTATCATGTATATAAGGATGTAAAGTACTAGCAATAAGACATCCTTGTAAATGATTCGATGATACAAGTTTAAATGCTGATGATCAATCAAATGATAATTATAGAAATGGTTCGTATCTACTTAACCAAATGGGCGGCAAGTGAGGCGGCAATTATTAATAAGTATATATAAGGATATGCAAGAACATCTTATCTTAAATACACTAATTTTAAAATAATAAGCATATTTGGTACGAATTTTTATTTTTTATTTAGATACGCAACATACTTGTATTTATTTTACTACAAAATATATTTTTTAACCTCTATCTTTCAATTTATTCAAATAACTTGATTTTACAGCTTTAGCTTGATGATCAACATCAATTGACAAAACGTCAGATAACTTGAATGTTTGTACAATTTTAAACATGATATTTTAAATATTATAGGTATTGTAGAAAATATTTTATGAAAATAATATCTCAACTTATGCCCTGAAATCTAATTTTGTTTCATCCTTGAATCTTAAACTGCATCTATCCAATTTTCCCCCAATTAACTCTCGCATTAATATGGATACTAATAATTAAAATTTTTAATATCAATATGTAAGCTAGTTATGAAACTTATATTCAAATAAAGTCTATATCGTATTTATCATATATCATATAGATTTTTGAACTCATTATAACAAAGTAATGAGTGTCTAACATAGCTCATGACATTCATATTCATTGAAACTTCACTTTTTGCTCATGGTGTTATTCTTCACACTTGCTGAATTTACAAAATACACTTGAATTTATCAAAGTAATCATGACTGGGGAAAGGTGTCACGACGAGGATACTGTCTTCAAAGAGAGGCTCGGCGAAATAAATATTCTCTACCATTGAGTTAACAAACCTAGAAAAAATATTGAAAAACTAAGTCTAAGGTGTCGGTGGTTGGGGACTAGCCCCATTTGGCTTCGTAGGGTCTTCCCGTCCCTTTTCGCTAATTTCTTAACAGGCGCATACTTTTATATGGATTACTGCAGTGTCATATCCTAAAAGGGATATTTTAGAGGGTCTCTTGATGAGGATAATAACTCTAGGATGTCTATGGGAACTTCACTTGACTGTCTTGATAGAACCTAACCTGATGCTCCAAAAAGACACGCAGTTTTCAGCAGAGGTTCTTCGCATGGGGTTCACGGGGGTTGCATGCTTCCTAGCTCATACACAACCACCCCCCTGCCCCCTTGTTTATCTCATTTAAATCAATTTCTAGAGAAAAGAGAAAATTCCGTTATGTATATATCTCGATGTTGCATTATTTTAAAGGATATCAATTATTAAGATTTGGAGTACATGCGATGATGACAATTGGTATCAGAAAGATTTCAGATTCTAATACTGCACAGTCGAATGGAGTTTCTTTCAGGTTCAAGTATAGATTTTTCAAATGAGGAAATACAGGTAAACCACGAGATATTCTCATGAATATCAGGAAGTGAGTCATAAAGATCAAAATAGTAGTGTTCTCAAGCTATTTGATCATTTCTATAAACAGTACTTGTTCAACCACATAATAAAAAAACAACTAAACTAAAACTTTCATGACCAATAAAAAAGTACCACCAAGTATATGTATGAATTCTTGGGGAGCTTGTCAGCTCAGGGTCTTTTGAACTCTACAGCACAATATAAAAATCTGACTTCTTTTTTTTAGGTGGAGATCGATGACGCAGAGATGTGTTGTGTGATCCTGCTTGTGTTGAGGATTTGGGACTCTTTTCTCAAGAAGATCTAGATATAAAACAAAATTTAAATTTCACTTTTCATCATCTCATCAATGTTCAAACAAACATATAATCTTAATATATCATATTTACTATTCTTTTGCAACATAAATGTGAAATCCTTGGGGTTCATTAAAAGCGCTATATGGATCTTTACCAACAATGCTATCATTTTTTCCAATCCAAATTTTTTAATCTCTGGCAGACAAATTTAATCATATAAATCAGAATTTTTTAGCAATAAATATAAACAGTGTCAATACTCATCAAAACACACTTCAAGACAATCATGTTTCATCATGCAATAAAAATACAATATTTAGATTACATGTTCCAAGCTGCTCTGAAAAAATATAAAATTTATCACAAATTGGTAAATATAACTGTTATTTTATCTTCTCAAAATTTTAATAGGAAAAATATATATCATAATCCATATTATGGAAAATGTTTCATTTTTATAGAATATTTTTTTATTCTGAATTTATACCTCAATCCAAATTTATGAAATATCTTTTTTCCATAATGCTGATGCTAAAATCCCCAAAAATTCATGAATGATTCTTCAATATATTGATCTAAATTTATATATTTTAAAATATTGTTATATAAAATAAGTAAATATTATTTTTAAATTATTATTAATGACCAAAAACTATAAATACATCCAAATAATTTTGTGAAAGTTTTTTTATATAATCCATCGACACAGGATTTTTAAAATTAAATATTTCAAAATGTTATAAAATCACAATATTGGTTATATTTATATTCTTTAAAATATTATTATTCAAAATTATAATAAATTTTCCAAAACGTTTTCTCCACCAAATTATAATTTGATAAATTTATTTACAAGACACTTTACAATAAAGAAATTGTGGATCTTTTGGATTCTACCAAATTTGTGTTTTCTTGAAATCTAAATTTGGTTGCTTTAAAGATTTAATACTGGGACTTTCACGTTGGAAAAAAAATTATATAGTCATGAAGTGACTAGATTTTATTAAATACGAATGAGTAAAAAAATTTTATTCACTCGTATACCCGATATGATAAACATCTGTATATTTCATTTTTGAATGATACAAAATAAATTTATAATGGAAAAAATTACTTCTCACAAGACTATACATTTCGTAAAATTTAGTTCATGAAAATCATAAGTTTTATTTTAAATTAATGCAATCTTAGAAGAGTTATGAAATGACAATTAGATTAAAGGCGTAAGAAAATAGCCTACTGTTGATGCACAAAGATATGTAATGAAAGTACTTATTTGTTATTAGAAGCTTGGAGTTGTATTGAGCTATGGGATATGACTTTAGTTTGATGGTGAAATACTACCATATTTAGTAACATTTACATGTTTTTTGAAAATTTTTCATTTTACGAGTTGATTCGTGTAATGCTCATGCGATTCTTAGGATCTCTCACCTTAGTAAACTTTGATATTTAAGATGCACTGGTTTTCTTTTATTTTTGTGATGCGTGAATCTAGTTTCATGTCACTGCAACGAGTCATCTATCAAGTGTCACACAATGTTCACTTTTCATCCTTTTTATACAATTTTGTTGTATCAATTGGAGCTTGAATTGCTTGTAAACTTTAGCGCGTATAATTGCCTTTCTCTTACCTCCAATATTATAAGTGTCTTTGAAGTCTCTTTATTATGGACCTGCAGTATTTATATTTGAGGATCCTATGTAAGAAACTTTCGGACAAAGCCAGTGAGATTGTACTCAGGAGCATACATAGTTCCATATCTTACTCTCATTAGAGAACAAACAGTGGATGGTTGCAGACTTTGTTCGATTATATTCAGAGATCTTAATGATACCACATATACGATTTTCTCAAATATCGTTAAGATATGCAGTAGCGAAGATGCTCTGCATTGCATTAAATCCGACGGTCATGGCTCCGGTGATGAGAAATCGTGTCTTCCGCCGAGAACAAGGAGACGGTGGTGATGATAAGAGCGAATCTCACCATGCGGGCGACGATCGTCGAACGGGAAAGGGCGCAGGGAAGGCGGAAGTCCGAAGTGTGGCTGAGTGTGTTCTTGTGTGAATGAGCGTCGTGTGCCGGCCATGACCACGAAGTGCCAGTTGTCCGGTGCGAGGCACGGTGTGCACAAAGCTTCGTGCGATCGAAATGATTGCTTCGGCATCCGCAAGCGAAGGGAAGGAAACAACAGAAGCGAACAGTGTGGCGGCTGGCGGAAATTGCGGTCCACAGATCTCCGCCGGCCGAGAAGAACAACAAAAACGGACCGCTGGTCCGCGACGACACGACGAGGAAAAGTAAAAAACCGTAAGGTCGTCCGCGACGCGGGTCCACATGGGCGCGCGCGATTCCACCCGACGACACGGATTAAACTTAGAGTCAATACTAGAGTTCGCTCGTGACGAGGATTGATGATGGTAAAAAATGAATTTACAGTGGTCCCAAAACTTCTATCCTATCCGGCAGCGACAGCGACGACTGGATGGATCCACGGCTGGATCTCGTACTACTTACTACGACCACAACTACTGCAGCTTCTGAACTTATTCTTCTCGGTCTAGTTTGTCCTGGTATCTCGCGGGACGGGCGGGCACCGGTCACGCGGCCGCGGGAGCTTGCGACGTCCCTTGGTGGTGCGACTGCGAGTTGATCAGGATCTGCTCGAACTCCACACTGACTTGGTCGCAAATGTCAGCGGATTGCGATTGCGACTTCGCTGTCAGTCGGCTGAGCAGAAAGGTGACGATCTGATCGAGTATCGCGTCCCTCTCGGCCGATTGCTCCGCCATGTCCAGATCCGAGCTGCAGTCTATCACCAGCACCGACCTGCCTTGGATCCCGCACGGGCTCCTCCTGTGCTGATCTATGACGCGCAGATGGCCTCCTCTGCTGCTTCCTGCATCGCCCCCCAGAGCCCCAGCCCAAGGTTAGACACATGCCATGCCAGACAGATCCCGATCTCTCCCGGACTTCGATCGTGACCCATCCATCTCATGCACGGACCTCTCCGCAATGCGCCTCGGATACAGCAAGCCAGTCTTTACTCGTGGAAACACCACGAGTTTCTGAGATCGCTGAAATCCGTCAGAGGTTCCCCACTCTCTCCGAGACTCGACTTTTATGACTCGGGAGGCAAAGAAACCATAGAGTGCGAGCAATACCTGTGCCCCCGTGGCCGTCTTGGCCCGAGACGACGGAGGTGCCCTTCAGGAACCAGTCGTCGTGCTTCTCGTGAAGCAGCTGAAGGTAGTCCATGTCAACGCCCAATTCTTCGGACCTCGCACTGGAATACGGGAAGTAATGTCAAGAGCATGACAGCATTACATGAGAGTTTTCAAATGAAGAGTACGAGTAATGAAGCTCGTGGGAACTGAAAAGGAAATTAATTAGACACCAACCGCGATTTCAAACGCTCGTAGCAAACGTCGGGACTCGCCCTCAGGTAGATGTAACAATCGGCCAACTGCACAAGCCAAAATTCGCGATTTTGCTTACAGTCAGTCCAGGCCGACGAAAGACAGACATGTCACCACGTACAGCGAGAAGAGCGAAGGTTGAAACTCGAATCGCCTTTGGCAGGTCCTGTGATATGGGATTTGCGGATTTGGGGAGGTGAGCGCGTGTGTGTTAGACCCTTACGATGTTGGGCAGAGCGTTGACCACGGTGCTGTACCAAGCGTCATAGGCCACAGCCTCCAGCCCATCCAGGTACCCTTGCTCGAGCAGGGCCTCGACGAACACGACGCGGTCCGTCGACACGGAGCGCTCGGTGAGCAGAATCACCGGCTGCGACTTGCGCGCTGCGGACTTGTGCAGCAGCAGGCGCGTGATGAAGACGAAGCTCTGGAACAGGTACGCATACCTGCAATAATAATAACAATCAACGGGACAGCGTTTACAACCTCGTACATACACATGACGATGACGATGACGACGACGATCGGATTCTTCATATTCGCTAAAATGTGCTTCGCAACGACATCGCATGAAGAATTTTAGTACGCGGGGCCAACCTTACGGGGTCTTCGTAGTACGCTTGCAGCATGTTCAAGCCCGTGCCGTTGACATTCTTCCATGAATCCGCTGGCTCTTCCAGCACTTCCAGCACTCTGCATTGAAACACTCATATTTAGCCCGGGAACAAACGACCACTCGACTTCTCATACTCGCTCACAGTCGACTCGACACGACACTGTCACATGATCTGCGACATTTCCGCTGTAAACCACGTTCGAAGCCTCAGCTTCCGCGTTGGCAGGAACAACTCGAGGTTGCTGTCACTGGACTGGAGTCGCCAAGGTGGTTTCTCTTGAGGAGCAAGCACCTCACGAATTCCCGACGACTGACCGACCAGAGCGAGTCTGGCTGTGATGGACCTTTCTTTCTGATTCGGTTCTATATCTAGGTCTAAGAGGTTGTGTATCTATTATCTGTGGAGTTGAGGAATGGATAGTGTTGATGATGATGACACAAACATTCGATGTGAAGAAAGAAAATGAGTCATGGTCGCAGGCAAGTACTCTGCAGCACAATGACAGGGACAACCTGATGGGCAGGCGGAAATGTCTACAGAAGTCACATTAATAACACATTTCTAGTCTCTCCAGTATTCCTCCATTCTCCGATGTCCACCCACAATTACAGTACTTCTTCCTCGGGCTTCATCGAGACGAGAAGGGCCTCGTCTATTTCTATTTCGTCCGTCCCGTTCGGTTCGATTCGACTAGCACCTGCTCCATCGTCACCGATCTGTTCGTCATTGGTATGATCTTCTCCCGGACGTGGGTTCCTCAAACGAAAGCGTGTATGAAACCTGAAGCGATTAGTAAACGATTCAAAACGTCAAACCAGCAGCCTACTATGGTGGGCAGACAGGCACCTTTGAAGACGAGGATCCCTCTGGAGAAGATATAGCATCGTAGACTTTCCCACCCCAATGTTCCCCTCCAGTGACACTCTTATGAGCCCATCTCTGTCCTCCAACATCTGTTCTCTCCAATTCATGAGTTCCATCTTCACCACTTTACCCCCCTTCTCCTCTGACTGTCAGTTCGTCACAAAGTCCATTCCGTGACGGATCAGTTCATTTGTTTCCCCCTCACTCCCTTTTTCTCCTGCATCCCATATCCTCCCACAGACTCCTGTTGATTCCCACCAGGAGATCACCTCTCTCGAGACCAGTTCAGGCCGAGTTCAGTTCAGTCGCTCTCTCTCTCTCTCCCCCCTCGATGAAACGAGCCAAAGGGGCAGCAGGAGGAGGAGGAGCAGCAGCAGCAGCAGCAGCACGACGAGAGTAAGGGAGCGAGTCGTGTCAAATGCAAATGCCTTGGGTCGCAGAGTTCTCCGAGAGGTTCAGAAGGGTCCGGGACCAGCGCAGAGAGAGACCCGCAGCAGAAAGAAAGGGGCTTTCCTGGTTGCTTATTAACACTTGGACCTCTATGGAAGAGGCACGTTGGGGTTCGAGAGCAGACGAATCGGAACTGCTCTGCCCACTAATACGCAATGCGTCTGAGGCATGTGGTCTGTAATGTCAAGGATCCTGTGGTCACATCTCACTATATGTCCTTGGAGCAGCACTCGTGCCTGTCGCACCCAAGTTGGCTCGCTGCTCTTCAATACTAGTGGTCAGTCAGAGCCCTCCTATGAACGAGAGACTTTCTCATACTGTTCGATTCCTTGATTTGCGCGGCTTTTGCCCCCTTACGTTGGGGTTACTTTTAGGTCAAAGCGAGGCTGAGCTGGACTGGGTTTAAGTGCTCGTTATCATCATCATGTAATCCCCGTCACGACATTTAGAAATAAAGCCTTTTGAGCGAGCAGTAGAGTCAACGAGAGAGGAGGGAGGGCGGGTGCAAGGCTATGGCACCCGAGGTCAAGACATCTAGGGTCAGGTCAGGTGTCGGGTCAGGTCAGGTGATCATCCCTAATCGGCATGCACGAGGCGCCAACAACAACCACTTTTGAGAAAATGCGTTGTTGAAGTCCGATATGTGCCATCCGGAGCTAGATAAGAGCGCGAGGGGTTTAATATATTCTGCACGGGGTTTCTTTTGGGGCCGAAAGGCTGCCCCGAACATCACCCGCATACAGATCTTGAATATCGCGTGAGTAAAGTCATTCTCACGCGGCATGTGAATAAAGCGCACGCTAGAAGCACAAAAAGAAGAAAAGCACATGAGCAGCCATGAGTAGCTCGATACCTTGTTCCTCCAGTTGTCAGGAGTCGTATCTGGACAAAAGAATATATGTGGCTTTTGGAACCATCGCCAGTAATTTAAGGGCCGCGCTCGTACTTTTGCGGTGAAAGGAGCGAATGTCCTTTAGTAAAAGGAGTGTAATCGGGCTTTCTGCAAGTGGGGCGGAGTAAAGTCAGCCACATGTTTTCTCTGCCCGCTATAAGAACTCCGGCTTTCGGCCTCGGGCCCTTTTGTGCGCCCTTTATATTTCTTCTATTTTTTGCTGTCCCCCGCGAGGACAGAGGCCGCAACCATTTCTCCTGCCATTCGGACGATCGAGGCGGCCTGGGGACGCGCACCGGACAGCGCCGGGGGACTTGACTATTCTCCGTCGGGCCACAGGGATCGAGCGGAGGGCCTGCCACGTCACGCGCAGTGGCACCTGCTGGCACCCAGCGGGGGAGCCGGTCGCCTGCTCTTTTTTGCCGCCGGGCATCGCCTCACCACACAGACCGACAACTGTCGGCTCGGGCAGCAAGGAATTTCGGATCCAATCGGCTGATCCGGATCATCATCCTTTGCCTTTTTCCTGTGGCGGAACTTTTTCTCTTTTTGCGTCTAGCCCCGGCGGACCTCCTCGGGTTTACTTCCCTCCGAAGCCAGGTCACTTTTACTGTCTCACCTGATCCTCTTTATTGGAATGAAATCTGCACAATCATTTTTTCTGCTCCTTTCGCGGCAGGACCTTTAACGGTTTTGCAGTTGAGCCGCGCTCGCCCCGGCCCTCGTGGCAGGACCTTTTGCCCGAGCCTCCCCTCCGGCCCTGGAATCTCGACCGCGGACAGCGCCCCTGCTGCCTCCTTTCGTCGGTCTGAAGGCAAGCGCGGGCGCCACCGTGCTCGCCAGGCCTCCGCCCGCTGCCTTGACTGGCTCGGAGCTTGTGGCCCAAACTGCGCCCGGGGCACGCTTTCCCGGACTTGCCACTCGCACTGGGCTGGGCCGACTGCCCGAGCCCGGCCTGGGCACTTTTCGCGAGGCCCTCCTGTGGCTCGCGGCCTTTATTCTTTTGATTTTGTTCGGGCTTTGGAGGCTTGCAGCATGTGGTCAGCCGGGCCTCGCCCTGACGTCTGGTGGCTCACATCGAAGCGCTCTGGCGCTTACCAGGAAGCAAGAAGAAGTAATGCCCGGAACTTCGGGCCTTCGGAAGTTTCCTTTATGATGCCTCCTCTTCGCCCGCTCGATCCGCTGTCCATGCGATCGCGGATGTGCATCCTCAGGCGCAGGACCGCTTGTGGCAGCACGCACGAATCGGTCCGAGCGTGGGAAAGTTTGTGCAGCTTCCGACTTCTCGACCGTGAGCGCTGTCGATTCGATCCCTCAGGTCCGCCCCACGCGGCCCGATTCGATCTTCGAAGTTTCAATGAATTAGCCTGGCATAATTGCAGTCCATTAGCAATCGGACCGAACTAGACCGCAATTTATCGTTCGAGTTTTTTATTCTTCGTTTTGTGTTTGATTTCCGTCTGCTTCTATCTCGAATCACGTGCCTGATTACCATAGGCAAAAGTCGGAATTCAAAATCTAAGATTTCCATCACTTCCAAACTATATACGGTAGTTTTAGCGAGACACTTTGAGCACAATCTAGTACATTTCATGTTCCGTCTGAGGATAAACTCTCAAGTGACTTTCCATATTTTCGTCATCTTTTCATGAGGCTTTTATAGATGTATGTAACTATTAGATATGAAGACTCATGTTCAGCACACTCATCAGTTCAGGTTACCGCGAGTATGAACAGAAGTGAGAGAAAAGTGGATGAACTTGTGGATCTTATTATCTTGTCTTATACTTGAATTATATCTTTTAGATTATTTGATCCATTTTGCTTCGGATTATTTCTACACTATGAGTGTGCATGGTTACACTAACTCTTATGTCTCATCATTTCTTTTGGATAACGAAAAGAGGTGAAACTCATCTACGTTAAAGATCATAAAAAAGTTGTTGCCGAATATTTACTTTTTTTTTTTACATGATATTGGGTTGGAAGACTAACTCAGTGAGATCTGATTGGAAGATAAAAAGTAGTGTGAGAAAGGAACATATTGGACGTATGAAAAGGATACTCTTTGATTTATTCTTGGTTATTGAACGACTCTTGTTATCATGACCGAAGGCTCGGTAGTTAACTGGAGTTAGATCTACTGGTGTATATTCGAACTTGCGTAGCCCAGTGGGAGATAACTTCTGCTCATTGTTACAGAGCAACTTGAGAGAACGTGGGAGATTGTGCTCTGGAATCTCGGTATGGCCGACAGGCCTAAAGTGAAACAAATCTCTGTATCTATTGCCATGGAAGTAGCCGTAGGAAAGTTCAACCACTTATCTTTCATATCGACTACTCCTGTGCATGTCTCTCGCTATGCATGTCATCTTTGCTTGACAAATTGCATCATAGCATGTCTAGGAGGTGACACTTTCGTGAATAAATGTGCTTGTGATTTTCGAAACTTTCACGTAAATTCATTGCGTGAAAGTTGAGGATTTTGGTACATTGGACAGCTAGGTTGAGTGATTTCTAGCTCTTACTTGAACTGTATGATCACTTGAGTTTGGAAGGTGGTATAATCAAAGCTTGAATTTTTTACAATTTTTATTTGACTTTTTCTGTCGTAGGTTGAGGCATTTTCTCTACGATTTTAATGTAGTAACTTTTAAAATATTTTGTGTGTTCGGGTGAAGTGCAAGAGATGACGGAAAGTGAAAGATTCCAAGCTCAAGTCGGAGATGGCGGAAAGTAGATCGTTCAATTAGAGATTTGCTGAGTTACGAGGTGTCAGACATACAATTCAAGAGGGAAACGAATATGGCATATAAGCGCAGTCCTCGAGTTATTTGTTCACTTTGACGTTTAAGTCATGGAAACGGGATGGATAGAGGACCATCGGATACATAGTAGTGAGGCGGTATTTTTTTTATCCCATTGGCTTCTCAAATGCACATGATAGGAGATTTGGGAAGGACCGTGTAGTCTCTATCCTACATGTTATCGCCTACGGATTTGTTTAAGTTGACTCATGTTCATAGATGGAAAGCTATTTTATTTTGTTTTATCTTTTATGAATTCTTGTTAACCTACATATAGAGTGCTCAAACTGTTTATCTCTAGACCACAGCTAAGAGGAAGTTTGTAAGTTGAACCCTTGACTTGTTAGCTACTGTCAGGTTTGTTACATACCAGCCGCATTGTTACATACACTTTGCAGACCCCTCATGTTGATTAGTATATAGACTATCATTAAGGAGATTGATGTACGTTGAGTTTTAGTAGAACGTTCAAAAATTCTCTTCGAGATAGCCTATCCATAAACGATGCATATCTGGTGTTTGTGTTGGGTTTGTTGTATAATAAAAAAACTTGCTAACACTGATCATCGTACTATTTCATTAATTTATCAAACATATTGAAGGTTTCTTTTATACTTGAATCTTAAAATTATTGTGAAGGTCATATGTGTATATATATATATATATATATAATTCATCACTATTGCATCAAATTAAGAATAAATCTTATTAATTGATATCATAAATTAATGATTTTATATTTAAGCTATTGTAAAAAGCGTTGAAATTTTTTTTTGTAAGTAAATTCATTTTGAGGATTTAATATATTTAATAAATTTTTATTATTCCATGTATGGGAATGAATTAATTTATTTAATTCAAAATTAAATAATATAATTATTGTATCAGTATGTGGAGCTTGTGACAATAAATTTCTTTATATATTTAATTATTTAAATCAAATAGAAATTTCAAATATTTCAATTTCACTTAACATACTCAAATATACTATATGATATGAAACGAGATAGAAAACCATTTGAAATAATTAAAAATAACGAAGTATATTTTCATTGTACTTTAGATTTCTAAGAGACTTCTTTTGTGTCAAGAATCTAACTGTTGTAAATTAAGTTTCATCTCTCTTAATATATTACAACAATCATCAAAATCAGATGAGGTTACTATAATTCTAATACTAATAAGAAAAAACCCAGTTTTCATAATGGATGAAAATCGATTTAATTGATTATGATATATCTATATATATATATATATATATATAAGTATATTTCTGCTAAAAAAGGTTACATTTCTATCATTTGAAATAAGTTTCATTCAGATTTTATGATTATCTACACATCCCCTTCATTTTTCTTTGTTTTGAAATAAATATATTCAATCTGTTCACTAGTAAGCATTTATACAAATGACAAATATATTTCTTCAGTAGCATTATTGTTACAAATAATCTGAAATGAAAACTGCTGGGTGATAGGATAAAAACGAATTTTCAATGTTGATGAATCTATTCAAAAATATAATTTTTAATCTGAAATAAATTAAATGTAATATACTTAATATCATAGTTTGTATGCATAACCTGATGGACTTTCGGTGTACTTCTTTTTCAAACAGAAGACTTGTATATATATACATACAAGTGTCATTTGATACACGCACATAGATTCCTCGTTATATGTACTACTAATTAGATTACAATTCCACAAAGCTGCCTACTATTAATAGTTATTCAGCATTTCTCGTGAAGTCTATGACAGTCGTTTTTAAGTCCACATATTATTCTGGTGTGTAAAGCTTTTGTCAGTAGAGTCAAAATTTGGCGCGTTGGGTCGTTCTCGATTTTCCAGTATGAGAGGACGATGTACGTAATTTCCGTCATAGGCATTAATTTGGGTGGCAATTTCTTCAGAACGAAAGTAGCCGATGACCTAGAGTCAGCCGTGCATCTGCAGTGCAATATTCGTTTGAGATTCCTTATGACTACTATTTTTATCGACTTCTATTCCTGAATGTAATTATTTTATTCTTCTCATTCGGAAGGAACATGAATATTCTGACTTGTCTTACATGCTAAGTCAGAAGAAATGGCAAAGTGGATTTCATTTCTGGTCCTTTTTATATACGTATATATATAATTTGCTGGGCTATTCCCATCCTCTTTTCCATTTTTTTCCCAATATTCTTATCATTGTAATAGAATTGATCCGTGCTTGTGCTAAAGAAATTGAAAATAAAAGTTAAAAAAACAAAAGAAAATCAGAAATATGGGTTTCGCATCAATGTTCGCATTTCTTTTTCTTATTTTTGTGTGCAGAACGTTTTGTCAACTTCTTCTTTTGTATTCAAACACTGTGCAAGGTACAGGACTGTACGGATGTTTGAAATGTCCACGCCTGATATTACTATAGATTTGGAGGTTTTCAAGAACTTTTATGAATAAAATAATATGGGAATGGGCTGTATCCGATGAAATCATCTTTCATGCACGCAATACATCTACGTGATGTCCATATGGACCCATGTAATTTAGTTCGGCTTTTTTTCAATGTGTGTTCAGTAGTATCATTGTTTTTTGAAATGTTCCAGATCTTCAGAACCTTATAATATCATCTGATGGGACGAAATAAAAAATCTATTCTACGGAACTGTCAGGCTGCAGACAGTTTAAATTTCTTATGGATCCCGTATATAATCTCCGTTTCCCTTAGTACTCTGCCAAAGAACTGCCATACATATCAACTGCATTTTGAAACCCCTTATTGTCATGTTTCAAAAGACATCAAGTGCATGCCTACCTTCTTTCTTCAAATCTCGTTCGTGGACATTGAAGTTTCTCGAGGAGTTACTTCAAATCTGAGAATGCCATAGGTCTTCAGTTGATTGGATTTATGAACTTCAGCTACATACCTTTTGTATATCTATTGCAAATGCCGTCAGGCATGTAGTTTGCATTCAGCCTTTGGTACATGAGAAAACGCACAGAGGGTGATTCAATTCTCAAGGTTACCTTTCAACTTGGCTCAACTTGTCAAGAATAACTCCTTACAACGTTGGTTTTCTATACGCTCTGGATGATTATGTACTATATGCTGACCCTTATGTTTTCTATCCATGTGGAAAATCAGTCATACACCGAACGTAGCCTGTGAGGCTGGAAAAGAATCGGTTCGAGCATCAAACGAAGGAGGGGGACCTTCAGAAGACGAGTCAAAGGAGCAAGACTCCACTGTCAAAGGTTAGTGTGAGCCAGTGCCTTACTCCCGTGTCTTCATAGGCTGGAGTCGGTAAACTTTACTCGAGTCGCCGACGCTGCGTTGATTACATTGAGTACATTGATTCTAAATGTGACGACATAATCCACGTGAGCCCACATCCCATCGTGGTCGCATCATGTGTGGCTTCTTGCTTCCTGTGCTTTTCTTCCACAAGACTGAGGAAAAAAGTGAAAGATCGAAAAGTATAGAAACGCCGAGTCCAACATTCACAAAATCGAAATAACATTGAACGACTTTCATCAGAATCACAGTCGTTTATATGCACTAAAGTCACTAGGATATTCAATCATGAAGGTCAAAAAAGTGTACAAACAAATCAACATCCAAAGAATCGTAACCTAATGTGTTTGCTAGCTTATAGATAGGACACCTAAGATACTCAAACCATGAAAGTCAAAAAGTCTACAAACATCAATCTCTCCGAGAAAAATGTTTACCTAATCTGATTACTTTCCAATAGATTGCTATCTATTCCTTAAAAATGCTAGAGATACACCATGTGGCCTGTTGTAGTAGATTGTCATGCACATTCTAACCTGTCACAGGAGGTGACCATAGCTCCATATAATTTCAAAGTTAAAAGAACATGAAAGTAATAATTATGCATACCCTTGTACTAAGAGACTTTGGTTCACTCTATTTCACTTATGGCATTTCAAGAGTATCAGCTATCACCACATTGAAACTGTGTCAAAGGTGATATTTTCAACATTATTTCTTAATCGCAAGCACATCTTATTTGATGGACGTAATAAATAGAATCGATATGAAAAGCAGAATACGTCATCTTACAATTAATTAAATTGTAAGATGAAATATTCTGGATACTGCAAAGTTCATAATTTGTAAACAAAACACTTTCAATGGTGAAAGGAAACCAAATTTTTTTAATATCATGAGTGTTTAATTACAAAGTTTGAAAAAAAAATTAAATTTAGATTAAATTGCTCCAGCAATCTAAGCTGAGAAAATATACATTCATCGATTCTTTATTAAAATGTAACAAAGTTTTACTTCCAACATGAAGGCTTTCAACAACTACATCACCTTCAAAATAAGATGTGTGTTCTTTCTTAAGAATGCAATAAGTTTTCCTTGAATCCTTAAGTATGAAAGAAACTTCAATATTAACTATGCATTTTCATCAGGGACGAAATCTTCCACATCAAAGATCTATGTCTTAGTCTAAAATTACCATGACTTATAGGAATTGATTATAGCTGGCTGAGATTTAATTATGATTTAAATTATAAGATTGATATGACCAAGGATAGATAAGTCATAGTAAGTAGTGTAGAAATAATTGTAGACCACTTACATGAAGGATGTGGTGGGGTTACAATCTGAGTATATATAGTACAACATCCAAAACATAATTCTTTCATATGTATTCAAATTTTAAGTATACAATAGGGATAATTAATATTATTAATTTGGGGGATATTCAATTTCCTCAATGAGAAATTTATATTAGTTTCTAACTCGCCATTTTTTATTTATAAAATCTATAATTTAGAAAGCAAACGCAAAGTTAAAGCCTAAATACAATCAAATCAAAGATATCCATCAAACGGTTGCAGTAGATATATGCTTTCCAACACAAGCGAGATAGTTTATAGTGATTTGATTTGACAAGATTCTACTTATGAGGTTAGTTCTCAGCCTTTACAGAAATCGTCCTATATTCTCGCAGAAGTTTTTCACCCAATGTTGGTAACAAGGGTTTTGATTTATGAGAAATTTTGTATGTTTTACATATAACTCGATAATAATAAATATCTTCATAGAAATTTAGATTCAATTATTTCATGTAATAATCAACCTGACCATATAATGAGCATCAGGTATACTAGTAATT